TTTTTTTTTTTTTTTTGGCTTTTTCTTTGGTTGTTGATGATTCGATTTTAAGTCTTTGCAGAGGATCCGATCTGCGGTGTGTGCATCTAGAGGTTACTCCACCGATGCAAAACAGGTGTTCGATTTGATTTACGTGTTTCTCGTTACTTCTTTAAATCGCTGCTATTCTGTTTTCTATTGTTGGAATGATAGTAATTGTGTGGTAGTAGGATGCCTTGTGTGTGCCCGATTTGGTTAGCATTTTCTAAGTACTTCTGTTTTCTGATGTAGAAACATGCTGTATTCTTTTAGCAAATTGGTAACCAGTAGCTTTAAGGACTAAAAGAATTCTCAAAATTTTTAGCATTTATGTTCATTATCTTATTCCTTATGTTGTTCATTTCATTATTATCACTATGGAGATAGCATCGTCATACTCCTTTTGTTTATATCAGTTGCCTTGTTTCTGTGTATGTGCTGAAATGAGCTCCTGTCTGGGTTTAATGTCTTTAATTTATACATCATTATATACCTGGCCTATGCCTCAATTTGTTGCGACTTATTAAAACTAGATTCATTTTATAAAAAACAGGTTTTCCGTTGATATTTATTTATTTATTTTTCAATCATTGGAGGCCTGTCATCATGATCATATTGCCAATGCTCTTGCAGATTACAGTACGAGAAGCTCTCAATTCTGCACTTGATGAAGAACTGTCTGCAGATCCTAATGTATTTTTAATGGGTGAAGAGGTACCATTGCAAATTTTCTTTAATGCTCACAAAACATGTTTTTGCTCCCATTTCCTCTTATTTCTAATGGGTGAAGGGGTACTATTGCAAATTTTCTTTTATGCTCACAAAACATGTTTTTGCTCCCATTTCCTTCTGTTATCTTTTCTTCTCTGCATTTTTTCAGGTTGGTGAATATCAGGGTGCATACAAGGTTAGAAATGCTTAGTGTGATTAAACTGTCTTTTTTATTTTTAACTTGCTTGTCTTTCTATTGCTTTTGCTATATATTAATCTATTGTCCATCTTGGTATAGATTACCAAAGGCCTTTTAGAGAAGTATGGTCCTGAGAGAGTTCTTGATACTCCAATCACAGAGGTTTCTCCCTCATCATAGAATTTGTGCCTTTTAGTTTTTTTGCAGGATTTTATTTTTTTTCTTGTGTCTTTTAGTTTATGACTTTCAATTTGTTTTGTAGGCTGGTTTTGCTGGGATTGGAGTTGGTGCTGCTTATTGGGGTCTAAGGCCTGTTGTAGAATTTATGACATTTAACTTCTCCATGCAGGTACAAATATATTTATGTGTGTGTGTTCAGTTCTTTTATGATTCACTGATTCTGTTTTTTTCCTTTCTTTTTTTCTTTTGAGTGAAGAAAGGAAACTTAACATTGAAGCTATCTGTATCTTTGTTCTAAGGCATTTGCTTACTATATTTTTGGTAATTGGTAGTGAATCTGATTAGTGAGGTTGGCTCTTTGACTTTTATGTACAACGTCGTGAACATAATTGTATGTCTGTTGTTTCTGAGGTAGCTTGTTTTCCCATATTTTATAGGCAATTGATCATATCATCAATTCTGCTGCAAAGTCTAGTTATATGTCTGCTGGCCAAATTTCTGTACCTGTTGTTTTTAGGGGAGCAAATGGTGCTGCTGCTGGAGTTGGTGCTCAGCATTCTCAGGTACATTCTTCAGTCTATATCCTGTCTGTTGACCATCAATTATCAAGTATGGTTACTACCTCATCCTTGCATGTTGTAGCTGATTGTAAATGCATTTTGTTTTTCTTGTTTTTCTTGGTATTCTATTTAGTGTTATGCTGCTTGGTATGGATCATGTCCTGGTCTAAAGGTGCTTACTCCATATTCATCAGAAGATGCCCGGGGCCTGCTAAAGGCTGCTATTAGGGACCCTGATCCTGTGGTTTTTCTTGAAAATGAATTACTGTAAGTGGTTTGTTAAACAAAAGCATTCAGCTTTTGACAGCAAGTTTTGTACTTGTTTCTCTTTTTAGATTTTTCATCCTTGATGATAATATTTCTGCAGATATGGGGAGTCTTTTCCTGTTTCAGCAGAAGCACTCGATTCTAGTTTCTGCCTTCCCATAGGGAAAGCTAAGGTATGTCCATTCAAATGTTACCTTGCTGTGTATTTTAATCATTAGTCATATTTATACCTTCTGGCTACTTGCTATGACAGATAGAGCGAGAAGGAAAAGATGTAACCATTACTGCTTTCTCAAAATTGGTTGGTCATGCTCTCAAGGTTTGTCACTCATTGGAAATGCATAACTTTTGGATTTCTTAGTTTTCTTTTTTCTTTCTTTTCCCTTTTTATTATTTTTTTTTTTTTTTTTTTTTTTTTTTTTAAATGTTCTTGTGAAACTAACTTAATGTGGTGGTACTTAGGCAGCTGATATTCTTGCCAAGGAAGGAATTAGTGCTGAGGTAACATAAAACCAGGTTTTTTGTGGTAGCTGATTCTTTGCTTGACTAACATTAAATAAAGCTGTGTCCAAATATGCATAATTGCTGTTAATCTGATGCAGGTTATAAATCTGCGCTCGATCCGCCCCCTTGATCGAGCCACTATTAATGCTTCTGTTAGGAAGACTAGCCGGCTAGTAACTGTTGAAGAAGTGTTTCCTCAACATGGTGTTGGTGCTGAAATATGGTGACTACCTTTCTTGCATAATGTCTACATTTTATGTTAATTCTCCTTCTCCTCTTGATTTGGTTGACCAGATAAAAAACAAAAAAAAAAAGTTCTCCTCTCTTATTATCCTTATCATTTTGTGGCATTATTTCTTGCTTAGAAGATGTACTTTCCTACACTCCCCTTGATTTCCATTTTGCATTTGGTCCTTACCTTATACATGTTTTCTGCAGCGCATCTGTTGTAGAAGAGAGTTTTGACTATCTAGATGCACCAGTTGAGAGGATTGCAGGTGCTGATGTTCCCATGCCTTATGCTGCAAATCTTGAGAGGATGGCAGTTCCACAGGTTTGTGCAAGCATGTTAAACCTGACTTTTTTTTGATGATGGATTCATTGCTTTCCAATGTTGTTGATTAATTACAGATGTTCTGGCATTGAGTCCACTTGATGGAACTTCACTCTACTAATAGTGGGGGCAATATGATAATCCTTTTAATAGTGGCCTATAAAAACTGAATCTGAACATGACTATTTTCTCTTATTGGCTTCAGTAATGAAGAGCTTTCTGCTGTACAGATGATTCTATTTCCGTTTCCATGATTTAAGTTGTTCTAAAACTATTCCTCTCATTAATCCACATGCGTATTTTACAGGTTGAGGATATTGTTCGTGCGGCAAAAAGGACTTGCTTTAGATCTCGTTAACAGGCTGCAACTGCCTTTGCAGAAGTGAGATTGTTTGGAACCAGGCATTCTGGGGTTTAGGTTTTCTTCTTTCGTTTTGAAGTTCTTTTGCTGAAACGTTCAAATGGCTGTTGGGTTAGCACATCATTCTTTGTTATTCCCGCATTGCTGGGCTTCCTTTTGGTTTCTTAACGAGGTTATGCCTCTACCGTGGCACATTGTCACCATTGCAAAATTTTCTGATGATAAATAATAAGAGTGTTGTTTTACCATCTGAATTATTTCAGACTATAAAATAGCGACCTTTAAATGACAGAGGACGCACAAAATCAGGAGTCCACCTTTTATTTAAGGGTCAATGTTTTAGCGTTTGAAATAGTTTAGATTATAAAACATTTTTTGTGTAATAAAATCAGGGAAGTGGTTTTTCTTGTTAATCTTTATCATCCTTCAGTAGAAAGGCCAAGGGATGCCAAGGTCATCGCCTTCCGTTAAAGCAATTGGTTCGCTTGCGCAGTTTAGAGGTAACATGGATCCCAACATTGCATGATGGATACACCCCTAGAGC